GATCATGCAGATGGTCAGCGATCTTTCCGACGACTTTCGAGCTACTATAGAAGTCGTGCGGGCAGAAGTCGCCGAGATAAACATGAAGGTGAACCTCACCATGAGAGCGGTGGGAAACCAAGGCCTAGCAGGGGGAAATATCCAGTTTAACAAGGTGAAGATTCCGGAGCCTAAGCCTTTCGATGGGGCTCGTGATGCCAAGGCCCTCGAGAACTTCATCTTTGACGTCAAACAGTATTTTCGAGCTACGAGTACAACGACAGAAGAAGCCAAGATCACTTTGGCAACCATGCATCTAGCTGAAGATGCAAAGCTTTGGTCGAGGTCCAAGTATATGGACATCCAAGAAAGACGATGCACTATAAACACATGGGATGAGTTGAAGAAAGCTCTCAAGGCGCAGTTTTTTCAGGAGAATGTTGAGATTCTAGCGAGACGTAAACTGCGAGAGCTGCGACACACTGGGTACATCAGAGACTACGTGAAACAGTTTGCGGGACTAATGTTGGACATACGAGACATGTCAGAGATAGACAAAGTCTTCTACTTCGTGGAAGGCTTAAAACCATGGGCCAAGTCCAAGTTGTACGATCAAGGGGTTCAAGACCTCAGCTCTGCTTATGCTGCGGCTGAACACCTGTTTGATCTTGGTAACGAGCCGTCTCAGGATTACAGAAGGAACCAACCCGCCTCGAGTAGTGGGAACAAAACCACCAGACAAGCTCACCCAAAAGTGGGGGAGGAGACAGGAATGGAGGAGCAGATCGTAGACCCTATTAGAGGGGTTGAACCAACTGGCGCGGGCCAAACCAACAGAACAACTTCAATTGAGAGCCCCTCGTTTGCTTTCTGTGTAAAGGGGCTCATCGCATAAGCGACTGCCCACATCGAGCTACCCTAAAGGCACTCCAAGCTGCAATAGCCAATGGCCCGGAGGTCGAGACAGAAACCGCCGAGATAGATATATCGAGCGAAGAACCTACTGTTAACCCCTGCATGGGGGCACTGAAATTCATGTCTGCTCTCCAGGAGAAATTAGGGGAAGCAAAAGAACCATTAAAGAGAGGGCTCATGTATGTAGACGTGTTGGTTCACGATAAGGTTGCCAAGAGTACTATGGTGGAACGCACAATTTCATGACTAAAACCGAGGCTCGCCGTCTGAATCTACAATGGGATAAAGATCCAGGGAAAATGAAAGCAGTTAACTCCGCGGCCCTCCCCATCGTAGGGATAGCAAAAAGGGTCAAACTGAAGATCGGGACATGGAGCGGCAAAGTGGACTTTCTAATTGTTAGAATGGATGACTTCGACGTTGTGCTCGGAATGGAATTCCTTCTAGAGCACAAAGTCATCCCCATGCCCCTGGTGAAGTGTCTAGTTGTTACTGGATCTGATCCCACCGTTGTTCCGACGTGTATAAAACAACCCAGTGGGGTTAAGATGATATCAGCTCTGCAGCTGAAAATGGGCCTTGCTCGTGACGAACCAACATTTATGGCCAGTGATCGAAGAAGAGAGCAGTAAAGAAGTAATTCCCAGTGAGATCCAACAAGTCATAGCTGACTATGCAGACGTTATGCCCGACAGTCTGCCAAAGTCCCTACCGTCGCGTAGGGGAATCGGCCATGAAAGCGAGCTGTTCCCAGGGGCGAAACCGCCCTCTAAGAATGCTTACCGCATGGCCCCTCCTGAATTAGCCGAACTCAAGAAGCAGCTGGATGAATTGTTGAACGCAGGATTCATCCGTCCAGCAAAGGCTCC